TTTGGAAATCACCGCCTTTCGGTTTTGAATTCAAGAGTCTTCCAACTGAGCTCTGACAACTCTGATACTCCAAGATGACTGCACTGACACAGCTCCCAAAAATACACTGGTTCCACCAATCTCAGGTCTGAAATCAAACTGGCTAAGAGTAAGAAGATCTCTATACAATGAACACCTCAATCATAAACTCAATTTAAACCCTAGCTTGATAAAAATGATAAACAACAAATAATTAATATAAAACTAGTATTGAGTTTAGAAATTCTTCTCTGAAAAAAAAGATGGAGAGATGGATTAAAATGAAGCCTAAATAATGTAGATGATCTCCTCCACTTGTGAAAACTTCTTCACAAACCAAACAAGCTTTAAACCAAACTTAAACACACTTAAACACCCTTTAAAAACTTGTTTAAACTTTTCTTTTGTTAGTTTGAGAGTTGAAGGCAGTAAGGTATTTATAGGAAGAGAAGGTTTCAACCAAAACCCCAAACAAAAGACCAAAAACCCAAAAGAATCAAAAATCTGATTATGTACCTAATTATAGTCGTTGGAAGATCAGCGGTCGACCGTGAAAAAACGCGCGGTCGCCCGCGAGTAGCTCAAAGGCAAATTCAGGGCTCAGGAAAACATCTGGTCGATAGTGACGGTCGACCGCAAAACTCTCTGGACTTCATCTGGTCGACCGCCATGGTCGACCGTTAGCCACTAAATATCGTCTCTAGACTCCAGGCGGTCGACCGTGGCGGTCGACCGCAAACTGATACTAGAAATTCCAGGTTTTGAAAGTTATTTTCTGATTTTAAAACCTTGTTTAAAAATATCAAATAAATTTCAAAAAATATAAAACTTTAAAAAATGGTTGTCGACATGATAATAAACATGCTACACAAACTAGTTTTCAAAAAGGACCTCCCAAAAGAAAAATATCATCATTTTGCAAAATAGTCCAAAACATGTAAATAAAAAAAGACTTGTTTTTAACATTGGACATAAACCATGTTTTGAAACTCTATAAACTGGTTTTATAGACTTAAAGAAAGATATAAACTATTGTTATAAAATCTATAAATAATGAATACAATATTTTCACAAATACAATAGAACATGAAACATATGAGTATGTATATGAATATATATTTGTTTCATATCTATGAAATTAAACCAAAATAATTTATCCACATAGAAAATGAACATGTATAAATAATTTTTGGAATTTGTTTGTAACAACTTTGTTTGTGGATAAAACCAAAAACCAAGATGTGTATATATATAACTATATATATATGTTTGTAACAACTTTGTTTGTGGATAAAACCAAAAACCAAGATGTGTATATATATAACTATATATATATACACAGAAACCAATAAAATGTGTGTGTATATGATTGATCTTAAAGTACTAACACACATAATATAAAACCTAAACTAAATTACCCAAGCTAAAATCTTGATCTTCAATAAGCTCTTCTTGGTAAACTTGCGGATGAAGCTTGAACTTGAATCTTTAACTTAATGTGACGGCCCTGGGTTCACGCAAGGTTACAGTCCAAGGTGAAACTAAGGATGTCAAACCTGTCATGCACCACACCGTACAATAACATGTTTTACCATTATAATTACTATCTCTCTAGTAGAGTCAATAACATGTGTAGGTACAAAGCAAGTAAAAGATAGATACAAGATATAACTGATGAAACGATAGTGAACAAATTAATATTTCATCATCCAACGTACTGAAATAGAAGTCAATGTCTGAAATGAATAAACTGAAGTTTCAACAAGTCTCAAATACATAAAGTCTGAATAGGAGGAAATAAGGCATACAGTCTTTACAACTTCTAGAAATAAATTCTCAAAATGTCTAAACAAAAGCCTACAGTGGAGCTCAAAAAAATATAACTATAATAGAATAGCTGATGCTAAAGTGTCTCTCCATCACCCTGCGACTCTCCGGGCTCCTGGGTACGTCGAGCGAAATAATCCAAACAAGGAAACCCTCATGTATATACCTTGTATCTCAAATTGTAAATCCCTAAATACCAAACCCAAAATCTAATACATGAATAAATAATAACAGGAGACAACCTCATCTCAGAACTTAAATACTAGGTCATATCACAACCCATATAAGTGTCATGTCCAGCCTATGCAAGTATAGGTGTCAATTTCAAGGTCTAATTTGATGTCCAACACATGGATTAAAACTAGATGTAATGAATGCCCAACACATGGACTGCGTATGAAAGTTGTCCAACACATGGACTGAATATGACAAATACCCAACACATGGACTGCACATCATGATAGCCCAACACATGGACTATATGAAATATATGAAAGATGCATATATCCTAATGCCTCATATGTCTCGGTATGCAACCCTAAACTCGTATCCACAAATCATCTCACGTGTAACGATACAAAAATAATCCTAAATTCTAATATCAGATATCCGAGGCAACTCCTCGCTCATATAGACGCACGCAATAACAGCAAACATGCCAAAACAGTTTCGGTTAAAACGAAATGACCCAAACAGATCCAAAACGAGGAAAAACTAAAAATTTTCTCATCAGTCGACTCATGAGTCGACTGGGATCATCGGTCGACTCATTAGTCGACTTGACAAACATAAAGAAGAAAGCAGAAAAGAAATTTCCCGTCAGTCGACTCATTGGTCGACTCATTAGTCGACTCATGAGTCGACTGACAGGTCGACTGAGCAGATCAAAAACCAATTTTGCATAAAAGTGATTATTTGCAAAGATTTTTAAACTAACATGATTCTTTTCATCTTTTTCAGCAGCATGCATTCAATTCTATAATAAGTGTACAAACTGAAACACAAGATTTACATGTGATTTCTTACACAAAACCCTAAATATATTTTTCCATATTTAAAACGCATTGAAATCAATAAATCACATGAAACCCAAGTTTAAACAAATTCCAGATCTGGATCTACATTTACAAAATCGTTGGTGAGCTTTTATTAAACTGAAAATGTAGATCTTGCTGCTCATAATATAAAGTATCTATCTTTATGCACAAAATATGTTTTAGGCTCAAGAAAACGAAATAAAACTCGAAGAAAAACTATACAAACAGTGGGTGAGAGTTGGGCGAGATGTTACTCACCTCTGGTATGCTAGAAAACTCCTGGAATCCGCAAGAGAATGATCTCCTTCGCTGCACTGCACAAAATCACATTGCAAACCCCTTCGAAACTCCTCCAAATCGCCAAAATCCGAGCTAGGGTTTGAGAGGGAGAGAGAGGGGCTAGGGTTTTGAGCTCTGAAGATGTTCTTGGGTAGGAGATATAATATATGAGTGGTCAAACCCGATACAAAACCGAACAGACCCGCAAACTAAAAGAAAACCCAAAATCAGCCTGTCAGTCGACTCATCAGTCGACTCATGAGTCGACTGATAAGTCGACTGAGCAGTCTGATTTCCAGATCCATGCATATTTTGCTAATTTGTCAAAACTAATGCACAAAACTCTATATAATTACACTCATACTTCTCTAATAACTTGTTATCAAGTGTACCTATGACCTCAAGTCATTAATCATAATAGAATTATTTATCACTAATAATTCACATATACTACTAAAAAAATACGGGGTTTTACACTTGAATTGCGTAGCTTCACTCCACTATTTCCGCCAACCTCCATTTGATATGATCGTTATGGCGCAATTCCATCCAACCTCCAATGTGTTGTTTATTTACAATAAATAGATAGACACAAACACTAGACAAACAACATTAGTAGTAAATTGTTTGTTAAACATCATCAAAACAAAGAGGTCAAGAATACCCATCTTGCATCTTAAAATTTTTTAATTTCATTCACAAGTCTTCCTCCTTCATTATATTCAATGTTTACTGCCATCTTATCATGACCCTTGTATATGTATTTGTAAAGGTAATTTACTGCTTTAATGCCTGAGCATATTTCAACATTAATGTGATAATTATAACATGTCAGCAAATATGGATTGTAAGGTACAATCCACTGGTTATTAAGGATTTTACTGCGAACCAACATTGTTTTGTTATCTTTCCTCCTCTTATAAATTGGGTAAGCATCTTTTGCTTGCATTGATTGTAAGCTAAATCCGCGAGGATAGTTATATTTTCACTCTTCATTTTTCATACAACTGTTCTTCATGTTCAACTCCCCACAAGGTCTGTGTATTATATGTTTTTTACCAATTCATAGAGGATCAGGTGTTTGGATTGGTTCGGAATTTCTACAGATACATACTTATCATACTGATCGCATAATATGATCTTGTGATCTCTAATAAGAATTATTAATATATGTGCATGTGGTAGACCTCTTTTTTGAAACTTAATCACGTGAACATGTGTGACAACTTTTCCAAATATCTCCTTTTTAAATAGTTGATCTTTCAAGTCTTGGAGCTTTGCTCGAAATATCCTTGAGGTTAGATCTCGCCTGTCATTATGGGTCTAGCCTGGATGTAGTTACTTAGTGATCTCTTCCTATTCTGGATTACATGTTATTGTTATAAAAAGATATGGCTTTCCAAATCGTTGTACTAATAACATTGCATCAAGGTATCTACGACGCATGTCTCTAGGACCACCTATGAATGATGATGGAAGCACTATTCTCTTGCCCACTTGGCATGCATTTGCTTCCCCGGCAGCTACACTGTCAAAAATGAATTGGAATAATTCTGCTCTGATTTCTGATTGTTTATTTCTAAAGTAATCAAGTCTTGTTGTTTCAAGCTTTATGTACATATCAACAACATATTAATGGAATAAATGACCTGCTGATGTAAGTAAAATAGATTGTCGAGAGTCTCTTATCTGGAGCTTATGATAATAATAATCTCAGCATGAGACTTTTCCGGGTTTTGGTGCCTTGACGCCTGTAAATTTGGGCGTTAGCTATGGTCATATATAATAATATTACTAAGAATTATGAATTTAAATTTACCTTCACTTTCTCGGTTAAATATGTCTTCTGCAGATGTGAAGATTGGTAGGACTACTGAAGTTGGTATTATATTTCTTTTTTGATTGTCAGCTTTGATATCCCTTTTATCCCTTCTTTTAATATTTTGATGCCATCCAACCTCTCTATTTGGAAAGAGTAAGGGATACTACAGCGGATCATAATAGCTAAAATAGTGTTTCACTTGATGTTTTCCTCCTGAGTGTGCATGGACAACTATCTCTCTCTCAAATGGTGCGTTGTCATTATTTCCTTCAACCCAGATTGTAGCCACCTGATCTGCTGTTGGTGAGTTATAAACACGTTAATCTAGTGCAACGTCACTATTTATTAATATCTTAAATTCTTCAAAAGATTGATAATCATTCAATTTACGAAGGAACTTTGAATATGAGTTTCCTTACAATATATCCATCAAACTCTTAGTTGTGATTTCACTCATGTTTGCATTGTCTAGTATTCTCAACCGATTTTACAACTCATTCTATGTATCATAGAGTAAAGCTGAAAGTATGAAAGCTTATTTTCCTTTGGAATTAGAGCAAGGAGATTATGATATATTTGGCCTTGTGCTCTAAATGTGAAAACTCCTTTTCTATTTGATGCTAGCTCTTTATCAAATCTGACCCCAAACGATGTGAATGAGAAAATATTGTTGTACATTCTGGTATGGCTTCGAAACTCAATTGCCTCTGGTGATTGCATTGTATAAAGGGCATATAATTCATTTGGAATATTCACATCTGCTAGGTGGATTTCACCGTTGTGGCAGTAAAATGTTGGAGGCTCGTGTTCAAACTTTTTGGATCCACAATAGACATAAGACTTTGGAGTGTGTAACTTATATAATAAAGAACATACTAGTTCATGAAGAATTTGTCTTAGCATAAAATATAAATATTTAATAATCTAATTTATAAATTTATATGGCCTATTTAATAAACTATAAAGTATATATACACCTACCTTCATGCTTATAGGCAAGTAGTAGGGCTCCACAAAATAGATCAAATTTACGTTGTCGTTTGCCGTTAATAGTATTACCAGCAAAGTCATTATTTTGTCGCTTTCTCTTATTATCTGCACTTGTCTAAATGTAATCTTTCTTCTGCTCATCACTCAACCGCGAATATTTGATTTTTTAATTCTGAGGA